ACAGTTGGAAGGAGGAACCACATGGACTAATACATTAAGAAAGCCTGATTTCCAGTTCCTTCTGCTGCAGACTCTTGCACTAATACCTGCTTGTAATTTTTTTTCCAATAATTTTAATGTATACCAATTAGTGTACATTTAAAATGACAATAAAATTATTCTAAGTCTACGTCCAATTATGTAAAAAAAAAATAGTACCCTTTCTTTATTGCTGGGCTTCAAGTTAAAGTAAATATAATAGTAAATAGTAAATGCATTCAAATTCACTCAGCCAACCTGAATGACCTGGGAGGGGTTAATTATTGGTGGGATCAGGAGAGACTCCAAAAAAGCAATTAAGCTTTAAATCATATAGAGAAGCTAAAGATAACCCCTCTGCAGTTGGTAGTATTTGCATGTCAAGGTAATCCAGCCAACATTTGTGGAAGATTTCCTCCTCAAGCAGATATGGTTGCAGAGGAGGCTTTTCCTAAAGAAAGAATTTCTGGAGATTTGCAGTAGAAAAGAAAACAGATAAATCATATTTGGATTGCAAGTCTAGATGGTAATTAGACCATAGCAAAGAAATTTAAAGCAGCAGCACCAGCAGTTCTTTGTTGTCATGTAATGGTCAGCTGGATTTTTGCAACCTGGATATGTTAACTCTAATTATGTTTCTTTCCTATTACTTATTGTCTGATGCATTTTTAAAACCGTGTACAGTGTACCTATGATATAAAAATAAATCAAATTAGGCCCATCCTGACCCATAGGTCAATTGCTAATTTTAGTCAGCTGCCTCTGTAAAGCTCACAATTCAAACAAAATTATGGCTATCTCATGTGTCCTGTTTTATTTTTGGTATAGAAAAATAATCCCTTATATCTGAAGTATAATTGCCATTCTGAGACAACAAACGTTTTGCATCTAAATAAAATCTGCTTCAAGCTGAGCTCTCCTATTCCTTCCAATCTAGCCACCAATCTCAATGAAGACCATGTCCCTTTAGGATTTGTGCAGCAGAGGTGATATACTATGCAAATATCGCCTAGCAGAACTTTCTACTGTAGTTAGAAACAATCTTTCTTGGCATCCTCCTGATCTAAAATAACTGTCACGCCCCTTTCTTTTGAACTTGGTCTACTAGTTTTCATCTGCACATGCAGCAGCTAAAGGTTGATGTAGAGTATTGATGCTTATGATGAATGAATCATCTGAATTTAAAAACACTCCGTCCATATAGTGCATTTGCTGACTGTACCAACCACTGCATCAACCTTTCTTGAAAGAGGCAGCTGTGCTAGGACTTACAATGGATTTTTTTAAAAACCTCACAGAATGCAACGTTCAAATGTGAAAAGTTGGCCTACGGTCTGATAGTCCACGTGTAGTATGCAGCATGACTGCACTGCATACATTTACAGTAAAAAGAATATGTCATAATGCTCTCTATGACCTTACATCCACATGAAGAAATCACCCCTTTGAATTCTCCTCTGCAAAATGGATTCCTGGATATCTTGTTTTTGGCAAAGATGCAGAAATGGTATTAGGTTAGGATGTTTTTACATCTTTCACTCTAGTTTATAACTTTGGGGTTATCTTGTAGTCTGCCAGAAGAGTACAAATCAGGTTCTATCTTGCATAGCTGTAGAAATCACCAAGGGTCACCTTGATGCTGCTAGATAGCAAGATATCATTTTTATTGACATTATTCTTTCATGGGACGAAGACCATGGCTAAAGTCAGGTAACTGCTGCCGCCAAAGAACAACATCCTTGTTAAACTGAAGTATACTCCACCTTTACATGGCCGGATTACTTCAGGTCGAATGTATTGATTAGGGATTAGGAAGTAATAAAAGGAGCAATTGGCCCTTTCTTTTTGACATACTTCTCCTAAGAGGACTATGTGGATGTCAGTAGACAGAAGCTCAGCACAAAGAGCTGTAATGCACTCCTAGAGCACCATATGAGCATTCCAGCATAGTCATAATGTTCTTGCCATATGCTTAGCAGACTTGTCAGATAACCAACTTGTTGTGTGGGAGCTATTTTTATATCCTGTGCTCGAAATGGCCTGTTTTCTCTACTTCTTCCTTCTGACTAATCTGCATCAATAGTTTTCTCTGCTGAATCGCTCATGCAATAACTTCTATTTCCCCTGGTTATGCGGGGGAGCAATATAACCACAGATCTGAGAAAGGAGCCTGATTTCCCTGAGGCGGCTACTACTGCACTCTTGAGGAGGAAGGAGAATGTAGAATGCAGGAAAATAAAATCCATCCTGATATTGAGACATTGCTAAGCCTCTAGCGTGGCTTTAAATGCTTTGTTATTCATCTACTTTTGGAGCAGGGAAAAGCTGCAGTTGGCAGGGCATTGATGCAGTGTTGTTAGATAAGTGGGCAGGACTTAGAATTGTTAGGTAGATGAGGAGGGTTTTGTATGATTGTTTATTTTCTATTTTGTAGAGCTATAAGGCTCTTCATGGCTAAGAACCTGAGTATCTATGGGACTACCATCTCCAGCTGAATTCGGCCTGGGCTGTTAGAACATATATAGGGAAGGTTTCCTTGTTGACTCACACTTGGGGAGCTGAAGTTAGGATGCTTTATTGTAGCACCAGCCTGTGGTGCCTCTGTCAGTGAAAAGGGAGCTCCGTTTTCGCTGGCAGAGGGCTGCAGGAGGCTGTCGCAGCCAAAAACAGAGCTGGAGACAATGGATTCTCCCAACCCCGCCCAGGCCACCACAGGTGCCCCCGACACAAGTGATGTTGAGCTGGCAATACCCACCCAGCCCCCCCGAGGTCAAACAAAACCCTGATGTAGCCCTCAATGAAATTGAGTTTGACACCCCTAGTGTAGATCATTCTGAACACAGATCATTGGTGTCTCTCTATCTTTTACTGTTCCTTTCTAAACTGGATATTATTGAATGGAAGAGAGAAAAAACTATATCATCTGTTCTGTTGGAAAGATATCTAAACAGCCTTTGGTAATATGCAGGGAAACAATAAGCTAGAGGTAAGATAAGTAAGCTGAGTCTTTGATTAAAAAGTAATTCAATATGTACACATTGAAAGGCACTTGCCATATTTAGTACTTCCTCTTTGGAAATCACCTACTTATATGAAGTACTACTTTCACATCCATCTTACTTAGAGCCAACATAATGGTGCAAAGGCAGTTCATACAATAAGTAAACAGACTTCTTACAACAGGGAATGTATTCTGATGGCGATGTAGCATTTGTTTCCCTTGAACAAAAAGATATCAAAGGAACACACTAGGAAAGAAGGGCCCATTCTATATAATCTATAATAGAATCTATATAACTAGAATATATGAGCAAGATAAATACATTCATATAGGATTCAAACTGAGATTGTTTGCATTAACGATGCTGCGTGGTATAGTAGGCAGCTGGATCAGTTAGTGACTTGATGATTCTATACAATGGATCTTTTTATATAGCACTGATTCTGCAAGACTCCCTTTTTCTTTCTTTCTGAGCAATAATTCTCAAGATAAGCTGAGTTTGAAACAGAAGTCAGTCTCTTGTTGCTAATGAACTATATACTATTACAGTATGATATTTGCACACCAAAAAGTCTCAGATTGTAAAGCGTTCCCTCTTAAAGGATCTGTGAAGTAGCAAAACCATTATCTATGTTCTGTTGGTCTGTTGTTTTTCAGACACTACTTGATTACATGGGAGATTCATTTCTTGTATTTGCATATGTGTTAAATGTAGGAGAGAAAGATTGCCACTGTGTCTACTAGAGAAACCATCAAAAGTGGGTTAGCACTACAGGAGATTAAAAGTTAGGCTCAAAGCCCAAAGGGAAAGTCTAAGCAAGGATAAAAAACCAGAGAACAATAAGTCTAGTGAGAAACTGTACTTAGACTGTACTTCTAAGCACATGATGTGATTCGAAAATGCCAGGTCAGGGCAGCTGGTCTGTCTCATAGGAAGCATTATGCTAGAGAAAGCTATGTTTTCAAAGAAACCAGAGGTCTACATGCTTCCTCTAGTATTAAACAGAAAACATATGAAAAAAGTAAATAATAGGAGAAAAATCAATTCCCAATTTAAATCACTTTACTTGTCTAGACTGATTCTTTGTCTTGGTGCCTATTTTAGTTTGCTGTTTGAATTGGCAAAGTCAGCAGAACTGAGTGCCATCTCTGCACCCAGCTGATATAGCATGCAAGCAACAGCCAACAGCTCAGCAACCCTGATAGAGTCTGACTGGTTATTTTGGTCTTCCAGGAAAAATATGGAGCGTGTGTTTGTGTGTGTGTGTGCGTGTGTATGTGTATGTGGAGAGAAGCAAATCTAACAAAACTTGTAACTTCATTTTAAGTTAATTTTTTCATTGTTCATTTTTCCAAGATTGTAAGGAATTTTCTCTCTGTCCTGATTGCAATTGTGCATGTAAGGTAGTTAGGAAGAGTAAAACATGAAGAAAGTTTTCATCATGCTTCATAGCATTGGTTTAAATTAAGCTTTCTCCACTCCCAACCACGCCAGAAAATTAAAAAAAGAAAAAGAAATCTTTCTGTTGCTTTATATAGGAAATAGGAAAAATGTGCAGTGAGAGAGCATAAAAGATATGATACAGTCTTGCTGTTACTTTACAGTAAAAGTACGTCCTGATTTTTAAAAATAAATAAATCTGGAATGATATTGTGCCTTTCATGGATATTCAGTTATTGTTTTCTTAATAATAAAATTGTAAACATAGGAAAACTCATTATGGTGTCCATAAACAGGTAAGTAGTGGGATGTTGCAATGTGGGCCGCGTAACCTTCCCAACTAACACTCGGGCTACCCTGCCTGTCTATTGTAATAGTGGTATGTGATGCAGGACAGAAGAAGAGATGAAACAGCCCCAGCTGCATTCTCCAGGCAGCTTCCTCTTTTCCCTGCACTGAGCTGGAGAGGCCAGGGAGGGCACTTCGTCAAAGACAGGGAGGGACTCTGTTTTCACTTCCTCATTCACCCTGTTCAAGCTCCAGAGAGAATTGCTCGTCTTTACAGGGTGTCCACACTGTTTATCACGAACAGCAAGAAGCTGAACCTGAAACAAAAGGATGTTGACCTGTTTGCCATCTCTCTTATCTTTCTTTCTGTGGCCAGTGGTACTTTGAAAAGGAGCTGCGACAACTGTGGTGGATGGGCATAGTAGAGATGGAAGACAGAAGGAGGATGAGCTACCGGCACGTTCATGTCCAAGCAGAAGAGGAGCTCCAGAACCTAGAGTAAGAACAGGAGTTATAATTACAGTAGTTTGTGGGTCCTTCCATTCTTGGGAGGGTCCTGGGTAGCTTATGAAAGCTGGCTGACATTATCCAGTTGACCTTTCCTGGTGATCCCTCCCCCATCTTCTTCCTTTAGTCTGAGCTCTGATCCACCTTTCAAAGTTGGGGTCTTGAAAGATAGTCAAGAAAATCAGTTTGCTCCTTCTCTCCTGTTTCTTTAAACAGGGCAGATACTTAGAATAATAGAATCAACTGATTTCGATATTAGAAAAACAAGTTCTAAGCCTTAAAGAATGCAGAAGGGAGGAAGAAAATGCTTTAGGAAATGACAGCGATTGCTGTGAACAAGAGAAGAGGTTTGCTACAGGAACATTTATTTAATTGGAAAAGTTTTTTTGTTGATGTCATAAAACAAGATGCAATGCTCAGTAACTGAAAGAGTGGTGGGTCACTGATGGATTGAGTGAGTTTCGTTGTTGTTTTTTTAAGACCTGAGGGCATCAGTGGGCAAGTTAAACCACATTTGTGGCCAAAGAAGTCAATCCCAGTTCTCTTCCTGTCTATAGGCATCTCTCCTCACTTTTTCAGGGAGTTGGGTTTTTACTTTAACGCTATGACAATTTACGACAGTGTCTATACTACAGATGTTATGTATTTTCTCACAAAGGCTGGAGGGGAAACAAGTTGCCTGTTTTCTGCAGTTGTGGATGGAGAAGTTATTTAAACTTCAAATTAGAGATTTGGCAGTCATAAAGGCCTTGGGGTTGCTAATTATTGCTGTAATGGAATACCCATAATGCCATTCTGTTTTTCAAAAAAGTGTTAAAGCTGCAGCTTAAGGGAGAGGGAGTACTTCATAATAGCAAGACATCATTAGGTCCGTAGTGATGCCATAGCATTACCTAACAAGAGCCCCTATCATGCACGAACCCACTGAACTCACGATTCTGCTTTTTTCTGAGTAGTAGGATATTGTCACGGTATTACTGAAAGACTTGTGGTTTCTCCTAAATAAGGGAACTCTGATAAATCCTTGCAGCAACTGAGTAATATCTGCAAAGTGTTCTTGAAAGTCAAGTGGGTTCACATTATATCTTGAAACTAATAAGGAGTTTATGAGAACAGTTCTAACATCTATGGTTAATATGTTCGTTAGAAGCAACCAACCAACCTTATATATAACTGTGGACAAAGTTTGGAGATCTGAGTTTTTTTTCATTAGGAAAAAGCTAGGAAAGAAAGGAGGAGGAGGAGGAGGAGGAGGAGGAGGAGGAGGAGGAGGAGGAGGAGGAGAAAAACGAATGACTTGAGGATGAATTTATGAGGTCTGCATGAATAGGGATTCAAGATGAAATAAAAGAAGAATCATGATTTTAATGTTAAGCTACTATGCTTTCATACATAATGGATAGGATTCAGGTCATACTCTGGAATCTGTGCACAAACAAGGATGTAAAAAAAAATGTAAAATCCAGCCGAGTGTAGAATTGTCTCCAATATTAGGTAAATCATTTGTGAACATGGATAAACAAAAAACCAAAGTAGAGGAAAACATATTTACAACCACAATTGGGACCAGAATTTCCATTGCTAAGCAAGGCAAGTGTTAAGTAAGTTATGCCCACTTTTATGACTTTTTTGCCATGGTTGTTCAGTGAATCTGTCTTCCTCCATTGAGTTTGCTTGTCAGAAGCTGTCCGGGAAGGTCACAAATGGTGATCACATGACCTGGGATGCTACAACCATCAAAAATCCATGCCAGTTGATGTGACATAAGTGCGAGGACCAGTCATCAGTCACTTTTTTTAGTGCCATTGTAACATCAGACAGTCATTAAAAAAAGGTTATAAATTGAGGATTACAAGAAGTTTTAGTATTAACAGAAATGGGAGTTAAGTCTAGATACTATACTAAGCAAAAGTCAAATTGTGTTGTGCTAGTTAATTCTTCTTGCAACAGTAATCGTAAAAGAGTTAAGTTAGGTAACAGACATTCATTTTATTCCAAGTAAACTAATGTCACTTCTGAACAGCTAATCTGACCAATCAAGTAATTAAGTACTTTCCAAATTGCATGTAACACAAAATAAAACATGTTTTGTCATGTGGAAAATTCATGGTCAGGCAATCTCTTCATTAGTCCTGATCAAAAATATAAGCAACTTACCTCTTGCAAGACTAAACATCAGTTTTCTTGGAAAGCTAATGGTCATAATGGTAACTTTACAAACCGTGGAAGTACAATAAAAGCTTCCTAGAATAGACACCTTAACAGCAGCTTTCTACGTAGGTGGAAATTTCTTCTTTAGAAACTTAGGCTAGATTTAAACTTAAACTGATTTCTTATATATTTTTATTGTATAATAAATGGTTATGAGCTTAAAGTAAAAATCCATGTTAATATTCAGATAGCACGTAGAGTCATTTTGTCCCTATTTGCTATGACAGGTTAATATATAGTTATCTTTTGGAATTTGTCCCATTTGGAATCTTATTTTTTTCCTAATATCAGCCTAAGTGGTTAGTAGAAACAAGTTTGGTCATTTTTTTCTGTGTTCTTTTGAAATGAGTTTAAGATAATAAGCCCTTCCATACGAGGACTCTATGATAAAAGACTATCTCTAGTTAATTTCCTGGTCTCATTGGGTTCACAGTGGTAAAATTAATGTTTGCATTTTTGAAGTTATGTGAAGCTTGTGCTGTTCATTTTCTTATTTCTAGGAACTGGGTTTCTGGGCTGTTGTTGCCCTTTCATAGATCTTTCTTAGAGGAATGATGAATTGATATTTTTGAAGCTTCCTCTCATAGAACTCATTCAGACAATTTTTTGCATGCAATCAGAATCATGCTTAGAACAGTGAAGAATAGATGGATAAATGTGTTAGAGAGTGTGTCTGGCCCAAAGTCACCCGATCAGCTTTTGTGGCTGAGAGTAGACTGGAATCTGGGTCAAATGCCAATCCAACATACTGATTCTTATTTAACATTTCCATTATTTATTATGTGCCTTTGCAGTCTCTATATATGTCAGTACATAGCATGTGATCTCAGGTCTTTGTTGTACATGAAGTGTCTCGGCTCTACCTCCCACTTGCCCGGAAGTTATTATTTATTTGCTGGAGGGCATCTGCTGGTGTGGAAGACATTAGCAAATGGCTAATGATCTTGGCAAGACATCTGTAGAAACTATCCAACCCAAATAATTCTTGTTTCGTGATTGTCTCATTTAGCAACTGTTTGTACAATTACAACAGTAATGGAAAAGTAATCTTGTAACTAATTCTTGCATTTATGACCTTTGCAGGTCTATAAAACAAATCAAATCCAAGATAAGACCAGAAGCATAGTCACAATTTCATTTAGCAATTGTGGTTGTTAAACAAGGGCTATATATAATATAAATACAATATAGACTCTGGTTATCCAAAACATTGAAAGAGGTTTTTTGAATAGCATGTTAGCACATGCAAGACAATGCTATGGAAAGCATTGAGGCAGCTAATTCGTCTTGAAGGCTCATCACAAGTTCTTGGAAAGCTTTCCCAGATTGTCTGCTTGTGCAACTGAGCATGCATAAAGAATGTTCATGGTGGACACTGTTAGAATGCTGCAGTGGCTGGATATGCAGATGATCTGGGAAAGACATGAAAACTAGCATGGCAGGACTGGTAGAAGAATGCTCTTGAATGTTTTCCACAAAAGTAGAATAAATTCCATCTTCTTGGTTTCAATGATTTAAGCATAGAATAGCACAGATGTCTTGAGAAGGGCTTGGCTATTTTTGCCTAGCTACTTTCAGAGGAGAAATAAGATCTCAAATGAGGAATTTTCTAAGAAATGTTAGTAACTTTCCAGTAAAACAGCAGTGAGAATCCATCTTTCAGTTGTGACCCATGGCATTAATTTTATTTGTTTGCTCTTTGCTAACTCGGAAAATCAAGCCTTTTGAGAGTGGCTTGCATTGCATTAAAATAAACATACAATGGAACCTCAGGTCATGAACGCTTCTGTTCATGACAAAATTTGGTGATGATCAAAAATTTGGGGAAATTGTTGCTTATGGTCGCAAACAGATCCTCGGGTGCCGATCAAATACAGCAGTGGCGATTTCACCTGTCGCGCATGCGCAGAATTGTAGGCGCATGCACAGTCAGTCTCACTTCCGGTCATGACCAAATCAGGTTACGACCGAAGTCCTGGAATGGATTACGGTCGTGACCCGAGGTTCCACTGTATCTTGAACAATTAAAATATACAATATTTAAAATATACCTCAATCAACAATACAGAGTAGATCCCTGGGTAATTCTGAAGTGTCCAAGGTCCAGATATATTTAATATTAATTTATTTAAATGTTTTGGAAAAGACACCAATCCTTTGCTCTCAATAAAATATGAATATAAATTTGATAAATAAATGAAAGTAAATTTATTAATATAAAGATTATTAATATAAAAATTAATTAATTAAATTAAAAACTGGGAAATCTTTGTCCTTTACTAGTTATGTATTTATCTATTAAAGATAATTTATATGGCTGCCCACTCACTCTCAGTGACTCTGGGCAGCTTACAAAAAATAAAAACTCAATATACAAATAGTAAAAACAAAAACTCTCCACTTCCCTGATGATAGCAATCAAGCCACTTGATGGCTAACCTATCTTTATGACCTCGTTAGCATATTTGTGACAAAATGTGTTCAAAATGGTCGCCAGTTTAAGAAAAAAGCTAAAAGGTACATCCAAATGTGGAAGAACTCTTTTTCCAGTTTTTAAACTAATTCTTGATCTACTAGAGCCCTTACCTTCTTATTCCAAGCAGCTGAGCTAAGTCAATCGCCAATGATTTTATTAACTTTTTTTCAAAGTCCAACCATATGCCGTGTTTCTCCAACAATACGGCCTCCCCCAATAGGAAGTCCCAGCATGTTTTATAGGCATAAAATGAAATTAAGCCCCTCCCCCCAAATTAAGGCCTATATTAAACATGCAAAATGGG